ATAACTTCTAAGAAACTATAAGGGTAAGATGACACAGTTTCGATTACGATACCATTTCGTACAATATTTAAATCTAATAGTCGAGATTCAAATTTGGTAACTAATCTTATTGTGTAGAATTTAGTATCCTTCACACAATGAAATTGTTTATCAAATTTGAATCTTGAAAATTAGATTCAAATTTTATGTTGTACAGAATTGTACTATGAAAGTGTATCACCTTATTTTCCATGCAAAATATTACGCACAATATCGGGGACACACACACACACACGCACACACACACACACACATACACAATTTGATGATGCTTCACATTGAACTTACAGAATATTTACGTTGAAAATAATACATATTATTTCGTCAATCTGTCGAACTCTATTGGATGGTATTTTAAGCCAGTAGTTGAATATTGATGTTAACTCTGTATATTCATGTTTTTCAGTACATTGTAAAATGTATTTAAACGGCTCCAAAAGTTTCTGTATATTAAAAATCATAACTTTTTGGTTTTTATTTCTCGTAACAATATAAGCATAATAAAACGAGGAGGCAAAATCTATAGACTCTGGAATTATAAACTATGGAATTGAAGAAAAAAGTGAAAATGACGTAAAACCGACCTTGTCCTCCTCCGTGTCCCCGTTTAAAGAATAGTAAAAGGGTGCAACTTCCTTCATATTTGTCATGTTGAATTAAACCGTGACATCTCCGTTCTGGCTGTACTTTTGGAGTTTACTCAACTTTATGCTGATAATATTGTCGCACGTCTGTACGCGTCGGTGTCTCACAGCCGAATTTATTTATTTTATCCTTCGAACGGTCGCCAGACCTGTCTCCGCTAAAGCCTACTGTGTCCTATTTTGTTTATATGTAGATATTTAAATTCTAAGCTTTATCGTATCGCTGCTTTTCCTTTATCACCGCTTATACAGGGTTGGGTAGAGTCTAGTTAAAAAGATAAAAGTTATATTAAAAAGTTAAATAATTTTAACTTAGTTACATTTTAGGCTTTTAACTTTTAACTTAATTTAGTTACTTTTTATTGATAACTATTAACTTTTGATCTAACTTTCTTGAAGTTACATTTTTGTGCTTCTTGTAAACCCAAAATAAAATACATGTTTAAGTGTCTTCAAACTCAAATTTGGGAATACACATCAAGGCAATTGTAATAATATAATAAATATATAGTCTGGCAACGGGAAGGAATCACTGTTCGCAAATTACCTTCTCTGCATTAAATCACGTTGCAGGAAATCGGTCCTCTTTCCGTGGCTTGACAGAAATAAGTATAACAAATATATACTTTATTTAGAAACCTTAAAATTATAAAATGACAAAATTTAACTATAACTTTTCAATTACTTTTTTTTATTAACTTAACTTTTAATTCAATTAGTTTTATTATTGAATATAACTTGTATGTTAACTAAGTTAAATTTTTAGACTGTTAACTTTAACTTAACTTAGTTAAAAAAATATATTAACTTATCCAATCCTGATCGTTTATAATTGCTTTTA